TCAAAAACATTGAAACGTTGGGACAACATTCAACAACAATTGATATATTAGGACAACGATCAACATTTGAAATGTTGGGGCAACATTCAACAACATTTGACATGTTGGGACAACATTCAACAACTTTTATACGCTGGAACAACATTCAACAGTATTTAATATTTTGGGACAAATTTCAACAACATTTTTTAGATGTTGGGACAACGTTCAGTATTTGAAATGTTGGGACGACGTTCAACAACATTTGGTGTGTTGGAACAACATTCAAGAACATTCGGTATTATGGGACAACATTTGATATGTTGAGATTTTTCTTAACATCAGCAATAATACTGTCTTTGACAGGGAATATAGGCTGGGAGGCGTTTTGTACACCACAAGTCTTAAAACCAATTATAAAAAATTATAATTTTTAAAAAAAATCTTTTAATTTAGTTTTTTAGTAGTTTTTTATAAAAAAAACTACTGTAATCAATTTGATTGATACAGTACTGTATCAATCAAATGCACTAATACTACTGTAACTGCAACTGGTGACAACGCCATTTGATTGTTGCGAAACACCATGTCATTTAATGTACCAGTAACACTTAAGCTCAAGATACTCAACAAACAATCAAAGAATATCTCATCAATTCCTCAACGAGGATAAAAGTGATCAAATGATCAATTCAATGCTAAAACTAATTTGCATCGAAACACTGTCACAGTAATATGTATTTCAGTAAAAACATTTTAGTATTAGTTTCAGTATTCAAAATTTATTTTAAAACTTATGTCATAATTTTTGCACTTGGTAATGAAATTTGAATACTACAATGTGTTATAAACTCCAACCAACGCTTCACTACATCATTAATTAAGCAATTAAGCTTTACCGTCGCACAACATAATCATTATCTTCTTCTCAGTTGGTGAAACGACGTGCGGTGAATAAAATACAATTTAATTTTTATAAACATTCAAATGCCGGTAAAATTTATGAATACGCACGTATGCTTTCACAGCCTTATTTGTTGACTAGCTGCCTAGATCAAAATTGTGGTAAAACATTTGTTCCATAAACCACTTTCAAAATATTTTTTTAACAAAACACTCAGAATAGGAAGATGCCACTCGAAACAAATACGCATGTAAGCTAAATAAACACTGAAACCATGATCACATCACACACAAAAACACAACACTCAGACGCACCACCATCAAACCAACACAACAACACACACACAAACTTCAATCGTCAAACAAATTCCCACAGCTACAAGGGCCTTACTATATCAAAACTTACTCGAGTACACGTAACGTCATGAGTACACGTAGCGGCCTAAGTACACGTAGCGTCCCGAATACAAGTAGCATCCTAAGTAAACGCGGTCTAAGTACACGTAGCGTCCCGCGTACAAGTAGCGGCCTAAGCACACGTAGCGTCCCGAATAAAAGTAGCGGCCTAAGTACACGTAACGTCCCGAATACAAGTAGCGGCCTAATTGCACACGTAGCGTCCCGAATAAAAGTAGCTGCCTAAGTACACGTAGCGTCCCGAATACAAGTAGCGGCCTAAGTACACGTAGCGTCCCGAATACAAGTAGAGGCCTAAGTACACGCAGCGTCCCGAATACAAGTAGCGGCCTAAGTACACAAAGCGTCCCGAATACAAGTAGCGGCCTAAGTACACGTAGCGTCCCGAATACAAGTAGCGGCCTATGTACACGTAGCGACCGATTTCTCGTCTATGATCGAGGGTTTAGCTCGTAACTCCTTCATTGATCAGCTGAAGGAGCTAAGAACTCGTAACTTTTTAACATAGTACGACCCCGGAGCCGTTTTAGCGCCGCTTTCCCGGCCTTGGCGCGGCTCACCGCAGCACTGCCGCCAGGGGCCGTGACCGCCAAAGGCTGTCGTCAGATTCACTCCACGTTCTCGTGTGGGGTTTGTGTAGTGAATGTTAGTGCTGTGTTGTGGTGAGAGTTAGTGTTGTGTTATTTTGTGCAATGTATGTATTATATTATGAGGTTTTTATCTAATATGTGTGCGCAAATTTGTTGCTGGTGGTCTTCTATAATCTGGGTAAAGAATGTGGAAAATTTTGTCGATATCGTTATATTGGCAGGCTACCATAGCTCGCAGCAAATTTTATCACTTTATAGTGGCTGTTATCAGTATAATATGTGTATAATATCATTTATTCATAAACTATATATTTTTACGATCGACTCAAGACTTGCGTCACGATAAGTACCGATAAAACACGGTGGGGTAAAACACTGCAAGGAGTCAGCACTTGACATTACACAATTTTAGCAATCATTTCCTCAATTTTTTCATACAATGAAAAAGACGAAAGCCACGCATCGTCGGAGGCGTCTTGCAGATGGTGCCTGTTGGTGCAATATTCCTCGCACTGGCAGTGTTAGTGCTTATTAATGTGAAAGCGAACGTATATGTGTATTTGTTATTGTAGTGCATGTGGATGTTAATGTGAAAGCGTACGTGTAAGTGTCTGTATTAGTGCATGTTTTATTGCTTGAGTTAGAGGATGAGAAAATACAGGTGAAAGATTTATTGTGTAAAGAATTTCGGTACGTAATTTTCGTACTAGTACTTCTCTGCTGTGAACACATCCCTGCTGTGAACACATCTTTGCTGTGAACACATCTCTGCTGTGAACACATCCCTGCTGTGAACACATCCCTGCTGTGAACACATCCCTGCTGTGAACACATCCCTGCTGTGAACACATCCCTGCTGTGAACACGTCTCTGCTGTGAACACATCCCTGCTGTGAACACATCCCTGCTGTGAACACGTCTCTGCTGTGAACACATCCCTGCTGTGAACACGTCTCTGCTGTGAACACGTCTCTGCTGTGAACACATCTCTGCTGTGAACACATCTCTGCTGTGAAGTTGTGAACACATCCCTGCTGTGAACAACCTATACATATATAATCATTTAATTATTAACCGACTATGAATTCATACAAACAATGACCTCACACTCGACTCATCCACTTTCTATTAAAACAAATACAAATTTACAAATATAAATCATCGATTATATCTTTCATTAGCCCTTAATTTTCTAAGAGCCTCCACGGAGCCGGTATTTCATATCACTACGGACATCATTTACATAACAGTTTGCATTGCTACAACGAATTCTAACTAACAAACCGAAATGCGTGGCCGGCACAATTCACTTGAAGTACATTTTTTTTTAACGAAATCCCATTTTTTTGTTGTTTGGTCGGCATCTATGATCAAAAACTTGCCAAGACGGATTGCGTTGAAAGTTTCCAACCTTGAAAGTATAAGGCCATTTCATTGATTATTTTTATGTTAGTTTCATGAGTAATTAATAAAAGCTGGAAAATATATTGAATTACGGTCACTAAATTAAACAAATTTTCATTAATTTTGTGATCGTGAAGGCAATAATAATTATTAACAAAGTAGGGCAAACGGTCGGCCTCGCGAAAAGATAAATTTCTTAAATTTATCTTTTATAAATTTCTTAAATTTCCTAAATTAAAAGATTTATTGCAGGTCTTTGTTCGTATTAATAATGGCAGCGGAGTGTGGTTCACACGCTGTATTTCACACCACATATCCAATTTTCCATACTAGACCAAAATAATCAATAAATTTATTACTTAATTATCAGAGCGAACATGAGATTGGTAAGGTTATAAGAATGCTGCTTCATACAAATAAAATAATTTAAATAAAGAAACACGAGCAACAAGAAATCCCACATAAAAATTGCATTCAAATAATGCGTTTGGGAAATGTAAAAAATTAGTAACAATATCTGATATTTATAATCTATAGGACAAATATAAATGCTTATACGTCACATATCTCTGATTGTAATTGTATATAATCAGAGTTAATAGCAGCTAACATACGTGAATGTATGATAATGATGCCTCATTTAAACAATGGCTCGCATCACATCTCAATTATATTTATAATAAATCAAAAATTCCTGCTGAATAATTATTATATTATAGGGCATCCAGAAAATTACTGCCAGCAGCGATGGGGGCTTTAATTTTCTATTTATTTTATTACTTTATTATTAATAATTAGAACTGCAGAGTCTTTTCAGACAGGTTGGTAAATTTTGCTCTATTCGTTCTAGCTTTCTTTAGTATAGCGACTAAATTTTTACAAGCTTCGCCATGGAGAATTTCCACTTGTAGTGAAAAAAGGAGCTAAATTGTACTACTCCACTTGTAGTCTTAACGAACTAAATTGTACTACTTCAACAAATGAAATTGTTCTAAACCTGCATGACTGCTGACCCGTTCAAAAATAATGAATATCCGGAAAATATATTGAATTTATCCAGCGCACATAACGCGATTCCGGTTATTGTATCATAAGAAATATAGGCTCTGTTTTCCGGAAAAGCAGAGCCTAAATTTCTTCCGGAAAACGCTATGTTTTACAGTTCAAGCTTTTGTTCCGTGGAAGCTACAAAATTTCCAGCAGCCTACATATGAAAAATATATTAATTTTATATTTTTATAAAACACTACGGTTCTTGAAGACAATAATTATTGTATTAACATAGTTTTTAATTGATTACAATAAACGCCTGTATTTTTCCGCATCAATTCAAGTTGCTTTCATGCAAATTTCAAATCTAAATCATATCTATATTTTCTCATTAACATTTTTTTCAGATTACAGGTACGAAAATGTCAGTATCAGATCTGAGGGTAAAAAGTTGTCATAAGGTTGCACATAATTATAAATGAGTGTAAGAGCGTCACTATTTAGACAATATGACTCATTCATTTTTCCTAGTGTTCCCTAATTTCATATGTACAAGAATAACACATTTAATTCTTGCAATTTTTTACATGAAAACCCCATCAATATTTCTCAGCATGTGTACGTTTGGCTTAATTTACAGAAATTCGATCTCTTAATGTATATAATTATAATAATAATAATAATATTCTAATTAATATTATATATCATGCAACTCACTCGCTGAACAGAATGCGCAGCAACTGCGTTCAGCCGCAGCCTTCACAAGCCGCAGTCTGCAAAAAGATCGTATTCATTAAAATTTATCATAAATTTTACCCATTGTCAATAAAACATGTACGTTGTACAAGGAAAACTTATCTTCCAACCGCTGAGATGTAGAAAACCTAGAAGAAATCGTGAATAACCGTAAACCAAATATGGAGACTCTAAGAATATCGGTTTGGTATGAATACGGCGCTTCTCCTCCTGACGATACGGTCAAGCAAGTATACGGCACTGCTAATCCATACGTTACGGTCAAGTAAGTATTAATACGGCGCTTTACTTCCAGCCGTTACGGACAAGTAAGAATTAATACGGCACAACTCCTCTAGACGTTACGGACAAGTAAGAATTAATACGGCACAACTCCTCCAGACGTTACGGTCAAGTAAGAATTGATACGGCGCATCACCTTCAGACGTTACGGTCAAGTAAGAATTAATACGGCACAACTCCTCTAGACGTTACGGACAACTAAGAATTAATACGGCACAACTCCTCCAGACGTTACGGTCAAGTAAGAATTGATACGGCGCATCACCTTCAGACGTTACGGTCAAGTAAGAATTAATACGGCACAACTCCTCTAGACGTTACGGACAACTAAGAATTAATACGGCACAACTCCTCCAGACGTTACGGTCAAGTAAGAATTGATACGCCGCATCACCTTCAGACGTTACGGTCAAGTAAGAATTAATACGGCGCTTCACCCCCAGACGTTACGGACAAGTAATAATTAATACGGCGCTTCACCTTCAGACGTTACGGACAAGTATGAATTAATACGGCGCTTCACCTCCAGATGTTACGGACAATCAAGAATTAATACGGCACAACTCCACCAGACGTTACGGTCAACTAAGAATTCATACGGCACAACTCCTCCAGGCGTTACGGACAATTAAGAATTCATACGGCACAACTCCACCAGACGTTACGGACAATTGAGAATTCATACGGCACAACTCCTCCAGGCGTTACGGACAATTAAGAATTCATACGGCACAACTCCACCAGACGTTACGGACCATTAAGAATTCATACGGCACAACTCCACCAGACGTTACGGACAATTAAGAATTCATACGGCACAACTCCTCCAGACGTTACGGCCAAATAATACGAGGAAGAATTGCGAATTTCTGGGAGCGGCGGAAGTTTCTTAATGCCGTCGCCAGCGCAGGCAATTCGATCACACAAATGAAAATGCGAGAAAAAGAGATTAGATTTCAGTAATAAGGAAGGGCGGAGTCTCGGTTAGACTTGTAATTACCGACACGCAAAAACTCCAGAAACTTTCTCCCAGACATACACGCAAAAAAATCAGATATTGTAATTAGGTATTACCATAATGGTCTGGGAGGAGTGCCAGTAATTTAAAAATATAACTCTAGTAATTTATGATCACAAAGTAATTAGTAAATGTTCTCGTTGGGGTTGTATGTGTTCAAGAAACCTATATTTAGTTGCTAGTTTGAGATTAGATGTGCATGAGATGTTTCTTTTAAATCCTTTCAGACTAGTGAGTTACAGTGCCGTAGTTTAGGTTAACTAATTCTTTCTCTTCATAGGTCAAGATAAATTGTATTTCGAAGGCATGTTCTTCCATGAATGGTAGCAGTAAATAATAAAATAATATTGTAGCAAAATTACATATTGCACAATACTTCTTGTAGATTCAGTGCGTGTTACTGGGCGGCGCTCTCGTTGTGAATTTCAAGCTTAGCTTTCTTGACTATAATTTGTAACAATTTAAAAGCAAAGAAAAGTCCACAAATTCTTAGTTAATTTGCGATTTAAGCAAACAAGTGATCTAAATTTGCAACAATTATTGAAAAAATTGAAATTCTCGCATATTACATGACCTCTGAAAACCAGCATTGTGCGAGCTTGGTTAAATTTCACTTAACATTCCAGAATTCGCTAGATATTGAAATTCAGCCGCTATAAATTTTTTATAAAAGGAAACACAACTGAAAACATAATAATATTAAGACTAAGAAATTCAGAAGCCAATTTTTGGTATCCACGACTTTATTTTGAAATTAAAGTTTAAGAAGAAATCCAAGTAAATAACCATACCCACATCTAAAATAATCTAATTCTTGAACCGATGATGGAAGTTGTGAATAAACATTATAAATAAAAAAACATGGCGACACGCAACAGGCTACAAACATAACACAGATCGTGCAACGCGTATAAAAAATAACAGCTCAGGTACGCTTTATGTAAGAGGAGGTCATTCCATTTCTCGATTGTCGCCACGCATAAAAGATACACAAAAAAATAAGATTCAAAGATTCGATTGCTTCGCTAATTGCCCGCGCTTGTTATGAGGAAGCGCAGCAATCAGGCAGCAATCAACAGGTCTGACGCTCCTAATTGCCTCTCTCGCTGCCGGCGTATAGACGTTTCTGGACAGCGTGCACTTAGAAAAATTTATGGCTCATAGTGTCCAAATAATGATCCGCATCCTCATCAGGGACCATACTTTCAAAATTCGCTAAGTGAACGTAAGTACTTACGCTCTATTTTCTTGTCTATGATTGGTGGATCTTGCTTGAAAGGCTTTCAATGATTGGCTGATGAACTTACGATCTCTTAACTTTTTTGAAAGTATAGGCCCTGAAGCACAAGTACAATCCGGGCATATTTAGCACTGATACGTCCTGCCAGGGCCAGGTTGAGCAACACAAATGCAAAAGTGTGTCGCTATTTGTACATACATAGTCTGGCTTTATTTCTTTGAGTGTTTCTGCGACAATATCAACACAAACTACACAAAGCGGTACTTACTACTGTTTGATTCTTGATACGTTCTGTGATAATTTATATCTATGAATGAAGTAACCGTTTAGTTCTTCTCTACTGAATTACATGTGATAATCGACTGTTGCTACCATGCACGCGTGTTCCAATTGGCAAGACCTAACGAGCTATACAAGAGTGTACATGTATGTGTGAGTGTACATGTGTGAGTGTACATGTGTGACTGTACATGTGTGAGTGTACATGTGTGAGTATACATGAGAGTGTACATGTGTGAGTGTACATGTGTGAGTGTACATGTGTGAGTGTACATGTGCGAGTGTACATGTGTGAGTGTGTTCATTCATTCATTAGCCTTTATCGAGTTCATTCATTATAAACTATGATAGATAAACATGCACATTGATAGAGTGGATGGCATTTCAGTGTTTTTTTAACAGCGCTTCTCCAAATAGAGTCACACTCACATTAAAATCTCGTTAGGGTGTTTTTGTTATACGCGAGTCATTGCTACCACAACATTCATATTTTAACGATATCACTTATGATCGAGTGGCTGAAACTTTGAACTGTGACCTTAAATTAACCTATTTAAAAGCGTAAAGTTACGACCGGGGCGAACTTTTCCAACCATGAACTTTCTACATTAGTATAATATCCTAAAATCGTATTATTTTGAACAATCGTTTAATAATAAACCAACGTACGGTATCGTTTAAACAATTGTATTATATTGAACAAACGTATCGTGTTCTTCAGTAGCATTATTCTAACTTGTATTACGTTCTAGAATCCTACTATCTACTACAGTCGCATTAATTTCTACAATTGTATTACAATCTACAAGCATCCGCAATTCTAAATTCGTATCATATTTTACAATTGTATTTTATTCTACAATCAGATAAGATTCAATAATCTTTGAGATTCTGCAATCTTATTATATTATACAATCATAATAAACTATGTAATCGTATTGAATTCTGTAGCCGCATTTAATTCCACTATCGTATAACATTGAACAATCGCATCATATACTACAATTGTATATAATGTTGAACAATTGTATTATATTTACACCTCTATTATATTAGACCGACGTACAATACTGTAAAATCGTATAATATTTTAAAATATTTACCCATATGCCCCTACCCATAATTGGAACGACGCTAATACCATCTGATATGCTAGTCAATACTATATATCCTTTGTATGCAGCATGTAACTAAATAGAAAAAAAGAAAATTTTCTCGCAACTTGGGCAGTACAATTCTTCGAAATTTGCGTATAAGTGAATGAAATTGTAGTATGAATTTGCCTTAGTTCGGCAGTATATCCCTATTCACATTACTATACGTGCGTATCTCACAGAAAGAAGAATATAAATTAACAATAGACCAATACTTCAGTACGTTACAAAACACCTTCGTTGGATGTCAGAACAAATCTTCCACAGCAAAATACTTGCCATCTGTCCGTCATCTCTGATTCACTAATAATAAGAATGTTTCCAGCATTACCCCTTATAAAATATTTCGGGTCAATAATCAGTGTTTATGAGCGACTTATAGCCGGCGACGGTTGGCCACCTATAATTCGCCGATAATGAACTCATCGGCTCTCAGGCGTAGGAGCTCTGCTGTCTCCGCAAGCCATAAAAGCTGGACGCTCAGGCATCTTATTTACGAGCTCGACGCCCTCAGCCTGTTATCTACACGCGCAAAATTTCCTTTATGCCAGGTTAAGAAATTGTTAATAAAATTTCGTTTAAGCCATTGTTAATGAAATTTCGTTTTTGCCAGGTTAAGAAATTGTTAATAAAATTTCGTTAATGCCAGGTTAAGAAATCGTTAATAAAATTTCGTTTGTGCCAGGTTAAGAAATTGTTAATAAAATTTCGTTTATGCCAGGTTAAGAAATTGTTAATAAAATTTCGTTTATGCCAGGTTAAGAAGTTGTTAATACATACAGGCACGTTATTTTAATTCTTTGAATATTTCTGTTAATGTTTCTGCTGTTTGGGAACATGGAAATGCACTATTTTATTAGATTAATTCAATAAACAAATCGAGTTACAGATGATGTAAGAACAATACAAAAGAAATACATGCTCAAGCGTACTCGACTTTGACATAGACACATGTATTTGCAAAATGAAATGTGTTCTCCAAATTGTCTTTTTACCATGGCTCTCTGATGCTGTGTTAGAACTTACTTTAGTTTCAAAGTTATT